CGCTGTACGCCTGTTTTCACACTTAGTTTTTACACTTTAGTATATTTCGTTGAATCAGAACCATCGGTTATTAATTTTTTAGATTAAATGAATCTTGTGGTTTGGGTTACAGAATAGGGACTGGGGTTCACCCATTAGAGGTTAGGGTATAGTATCATGTTCAAAATTTCGATTAATTCGTGCTCTAAATAGTAAAACTCGACAGACGTACAATATATATATATATGTGGCGAGTTCTACGGTGTGTATATATAAATAAGGACTTGGTCTAGTGGTTCGAATTTTTACCTAACAACAAAAAGTAAACCATATATCTCTTATCAAAAATTGCTTCTATATGCACATTATAATTTTTTTTTCTTCATACATCTAAATTAAATCGAGCTACACCGATTCGATCAATAACCCTTAATTAACCTACTCCTCGACCTAGTCAACAATTAAGACCGGGTGGACAACCTTCAACACAACCCTAATAACACGCCCTCAATATATTTAGACCATGGAATTCGATCAACGATTATATGCAGTAGGGAAACTTATAAATTATAATCAAAGCCGCCATGCAATCAGCAGGGCGATAGTCAAGTTTATTATTAATTAATAGCTTCCTTCTTTCGGAAATTTCCAGATTTTGGGGGGAATTTGTACTTCTCAGTTGTCATAGAGAACTTTTTTTTTTTTTTGCATTTAGGGGAGGCCAAAGCCAAGAAGCAAGAACAACAAGGAGGGAGAAGAGAAAGGCTAAGAGGAGGAAGGCGCCACTATACGGCGATCAAAAGACACCCCCATACTATCGTCCTGCAAAATCTGAACTAGCTCCCTAGGAGGATTAGTAAGCTCATGCATACCGTAGGGATAGACGAGACTGTGCTTCGAGAGCCAGTCCGCGGCTCTATTCCCTTCTCGATATGTATGAACTATACTAACCAACCAATCCTGAGCAAGTCTCCTCCGAATGGACGCTAACAGAGCGGCATACGGATGCACCGGATCATGGCGATTATTAATGAGGAGAATCGCCAGCTGAGAATCCGTCTCGATCACAAGGTTGTTAACTCCAAACTTCCAAGCAAGAGTAAGACCATGGTAGAAGGCCCAAAGCTCTGCCAAAGCCGCAGAAGCTTCCCCAATCTTTGCCACAAAACCTGCTATCCATCGTCCCTGCGCATCACGAATCAGCCCGCCTGCACCAGCCGGCCCCGGATTGCCCGCCGATGCACCATCTATGTTCAATTTAACCCATCCCTGCTGTGGAGCATTCCACTGGATGCTAGCTGTCACCCGGCTCCTTCTTGGCTCCCGATTACTCGTTTCCAACAGAGGGGCGCACCACGCCTTATACCACAGCTCCGCCTTCAGCTGAATAGAGTGAAACAGAGAAGGTGCCGTCAGAGCCTTCTGCACACCTTGGAACACCGTTGTGCACGTGTTTTTCCACAAAAGCCATATGGTTATACTGAAAAAAGCCCCCCAAGGCATTCCATTCGCCATAGGTTCATCATTAAGTAAATTCCCTCGCAGCCAAGCTTCCTGATCGCTTGCGAAGAAACCAAGCTGCTCGGAGGGGGGAATGCTCCTGCTCCAAACATAAACAGCCGGAGGACAGTCTCTCAAAAGATGGAGCGTTGTTTCCGGGCAGCTGCTACACCGGACGCACATCGGCGACGGGGAACATTTCCTGTAAAAGAGCATGCTGTTAGTGGAAATCCTGTTCAGCGCAACCAGCCAACTGAAGCACCTAACTCTCTCTGGCACCGGGTTACTCCAGATCTTCTTCCACAATTTCTCGTCCTGATTTCCTTGTTGGGGCATGGCGATCTGGAAAGCCGACTTAGCAGTGAAATGACCATTCGGGGAAGGAGCCCAGAAGAGAGTATCATTCTCCATAGAGAAAACATCTACTGCTACTGCCGTGATCTTCTGCTGAACGTCAAAGGGCAGCCACTGCGAGAAACGATCCACATCCCAATCTCCATTATCATCCAGATAGCTAGCAACCGTGTCCCTCAGTCTCTCCTCCGGAATGGGCTGGATAGCCACATCCCTTAAAGGAACCTGCAAAACCCACACATCACACCAAAAATTAGTGCTTCTACCATTCTGAATATTCCACGCACACCCTTTTCTGAGAAGGTGGGAAGCCTTGGTAAAGCTTCTCCAGGCAAAAGAACTTCCCTGAATAGGCCGAAATATGTCGAGGCCCTCTCTCTGCTTCCCATATTTAGTGCTAAAAATCTGGGTCCATAGAGCCTCCTTCTCCTTGAGGATACGCCACCCTCCTTTGGCCAGAAGAGCAAGATTAGCCTGTCTGAGGGGCCGAAGGTCTCCACCCCCTTGGAGTCTAGGTTCTGTCATCTTCTCCCAAGGCACCAGATGCAACTTCCCCTTGTCCTCCTCTTTTCCCCAGATAAAATCCCTGTTAATCTTATCTATAGCATTGCAGACATTCTTAGGGATTAGCTCAGATTGCATAGAGTAAGTGGGAATAGCAAGAGAGACAGAACGAGTAACCGTTAGCCTCGCGGCGAGGGAGAGCCTCCTTGCTTTCCAAGGAGCTAGCTTCTTTTGGATCCTCAGAATCAAGGCCTGGTATCGGCTCTTAGTAACCCGCCCATGAATAGCTTCAATACCCAAATACCGGCCAAGATTAGTAACCAGCGGGATGGCAGCCTTGTCACTAAGCCGGCGGGCTCTGTCTTGCCTGATGTTTGGCGAGACATACAAGACAGACTTATCATAGCTCACCCGCTGCCCTGAACTGGCACAAAACTCATCCAGGCAACTCTTCACGACTCTTATCTGGCTCCCTTCTGCCTCTGCAAAAAGCACTAAATCATCCGCAAAAAATAAGTGAGATAAGGCAGGGCCCCTCGGAGACAAGCGAATGGGTTTCCACTGCTTATCCCGGACGGCCTGATCAATTCTATGAGATAAACGTTCCATACATAGAACAAAAAGATAGGGAGAAAGAGGGTCTCCCTGGCGGACGCCCCGAGTGGGGGTGATGATAGGCGTGAGCTCCCCATTCCACAAGATTCGCATCTTGTTGTGCTCAACACAGTACATGATCCCCCTGATCCACGAACTCGGAAGCCCAACTTCAATCAAGGTGTCCCTCAAGAAGTCCCAACGGAGCCTGTCATACGCCTTTTCGAGATCCACCTTCAACACCATTCCTCCCTTCTTTCCCCGCTTTTTCCGCAAAGAGTGCAGCACTTCCTGGACAATAAGGATGTTGTCGGTCGTTTGGCATCCTGGGATGAAACTGCTTTGCCTAGGAGAAACCAGCTTCCTCATGACCTCCTTCAACCGACAGGTCAGGGCTTTAGTGATTGCTTTGAGGCAGACATTGTTGAGGGAGATCGGGCGAAGCTGGGTAACCGACTCCGGCTTATCCACTTTCGGGATGAGGACCACCGTGGACTCCGTGACCGCTTCAGGCAACGTTCCCTGCTCAAAAAAGAGCAGAGCCATATCAGTGAGAGCTTTCCCCACCACCGTCCAGGCTTTCTGGTAGAACAGAGCTTGGAACCCATCCGGCCCCGGTGCTTGAAGCGGTTTCATCTCAAAGACCGCTTTGTGGATGTCGAGGATGCTGAAAGGTCGGAGAACATGGAGCCAGTCTTCTTGGTTCAGCCGCGGGAAGTCTCCTTTGGGGAGAAGGTCAACATAAGGTGAGTTATCCTGCAAATAAAGCTCAGAGAAAAAGTTATAAACAAGTTGCAACAGCTCATCCTTCTCGCTGACCCATTCCCCATTGATATTCTTAAGACAGTCAATCTTATTCCTCCGCCGTCTAATGTTGGCAAGCTGGTGAAAATAAGCTGTGTTCCGTTCTCCGAACTTCACCCAATGCTCCCTCGCCCTCTGGAACCAGATAAGCTCCTCCTGCTCCATTGTCTTATCTAACTCCTTCTCCAGCTTTGAGTGAAGCTTGAGGAGACCTGGAGAGAAAGAGTTTGCTAGACGTCGCTCAATCCCTTCAATCCTGGCCACCAACCTCTTCTTCCTTTGGTGCACATTTCCAAAGGTCGATGTATTCCAGAGCTGGAGCTTTTTGGAGAGATCCTGCAACGCCAAAGGCAAAACATTAAGAGAATCCCAAGAATCTGCAAGAAAAGAGAGAAAATCCTCATGAGTGAACCAGGCAGCTTCAAATTTGAAACGCCTCATGGAAAGGTTAGAGCCTCCCTGATTAGACACCGTAGTAAGAATCGGGTGGTGATCGGAGTTCAGGCGCGCCAAATGGGTCACCGACGTATTAGGGAACCCCTCATTCCATTCTAGGTTGCAAATGCTTCTGTCGATTCTGCTGGCTTTATAGGTGTCACTCTCCTTCCCCCTGGTCCACGTAAACCGAGGGCCAGAGAAGCCTAGATCCACCAACTCTGCTTCATTCAGAAACTCCCCAAAACGCTTACATCTACGAAAGGTTGCTGGTGAGGGAGGCCCTGTTTTCTCGTCCGGATGGAGAATTGAGTTGAAATCGCCGGTGAGAATCCAAGGGCAATCCACCTGCTTGCTTTGCTCGATGATAGCGTTCCAGAGAAGACGTTGAAGCTGCTGGCGCGGAGACGCATACACTGCTGTGAGCATCCACGGGGCCTGGTTACCCTTCGACACTCTCACAGAAAGATGTTGCGACCCTGCCGACACAACCTGCACACAAAAATTCTGAGAGTTCCAAAAAAGCCAAATCCCACCACTCCGTCCCTGAGCTTCAACTCGCAAGACATTCGGAAAACCCAGCTTCTCGCAAATCTTGTTCACCATTTCTCCACTAACTTGAGGTTCAAGGAGAATAACAAAATTCGGCCTGTGCAACTGCAGCAAAAGTTTCAGGGACCGTGAGAAGGAGGTTCCTCCGGCACCCCCGACATTCCACGAGAGAATTTTAAAGTTATAACAATTAAAACCAACCATTAAAACAAACATAACAAAAGAAAAGAAAAAGAGACGGAACCCAAGAGAGGGTAAGCAGTAAGAGAGGGACGAAATCACCGGGAAACAGCACTCGGCAGGCCCCGGTCCTCAATGTCGGCCGCCGACTCCATCGCTGCTCCCCCTGCCGCAGCTTCCTCTTTCTTCCCCTCATTCGATTGAGCCTTCCCTGTCCACTCACTGATCTGTTGCAAGGTTAAAGCTACTCTCCGCTCCTTACTCTTGATCTTCTTGTCTTTAACCGGCGACCAGTGCTGCAGAGCTTTCATCGGGTTGTGTCGGAGAGGAGTCAGCTTCATAGGCGTCGAGTTCTTGCTCCCCTGACTTTTCTTTTTTTCCTTCTTTTGTTTAGTTCTTGAAACCGCCGACGGGACAGAGGGATCGATGGCACGAGCCGGCGGCATCTCATAGGGGGTGACTTCAACTATTTGGATATTGACCCCGTTCCCTTGACCGGAGGAGCTTGGCTCTTGTCTCTGATTATTCACCTTGGGTCGGGCTTCCTCAGTTGGGCTCGGGTTCTGTTTAGAGGACGAGGCCTCTTTGTTGTTTCTACTGTTGGTGGGCTTGGCCTGCCCAGTTACAAGAGGCTTTGGGGCAGGCCCCAAAATCCCATTCACCCCCATGTCCACTATCTCTTTCCCTTTTCTTTCCTTACCCTTATCCCCAGCCGATTTTCCCTTTTGCTTCCCTAGGTTAAAACTGTGGTCATTAAGACCTTTCCCCTGATTCTTCCCAAAAAACTGAGGCGCCGCTCCCACCTTTTCCACCGTAGCCACCGTTTCCTCTTTCCCCGAAATCCCCCTCTCTTTCCCGTTGTGACTTACCAAAACTGGTTCCGACTTACCTTGCTTAGCGGGATCGCGAGAATTTCGGCGAGATTTCCTTGAAACCAGCATCCAAGGTCCGAAACCGGCTGGGTCCTCCGATGATCCTACGGCCGCAGCAGCCGACGGCGGAGGAGGCGACCCGACATGAGTAACGACGGTAAGAGCTTGTGAGAGAGCCGGGCAGTTTAGCTTTGTATGTCCGATTTTGCCACATTCGAAGCAAACGATGGGAAGGTTCTCGAACTCAACCTTCTGCCACTTACCATCTAGCCGAATTCGGGGGACTAGAGGTTTAGACAGGTCTACCTCCACCGCCATTCGAGCAAATTTAGCCCGTTGCTGGTTAGCCGTGTGAAAGTCCAGTTTGATTGCCCTGCCAATCATGTTCCCCAGTGTAAACAGCAATTCCTTGTGGTAAAAATGGACGGGGAAACCCGGGAACTGAACCCAAACCACCATGGAGCTTGGTAGTTTATCTGTCACACGGAAGGAAGGAGTCCATTGTTGCACAACCAGATAATGATCATATATTACCCATGGACCATCAGTCAGAGCTTTAAAGTAGTCCAAATCATTCTCCAGCTTCACCAGGAAACAATCCTGGTCCAGAGCGAAAACTTCAAACCCCGCCGTTGGACGCCAGAGATAACGAATCCTGCTGCAATGAGTAGCATATCCAATTGATCGGCCAAGCAGACGTACCACCAGTGTCCGTTGCCATGGCGCACTGAGCTTGTTCTTGAAATTTTCCGACAATTGAAGCTCTGGTTCCCCATTGAAGGACCCTGGAATCAGGTCTTTTTCCCCCACCGGAATCCATTGTGTTGTCAGAGGCCTAGGCACGAGACTTTCCCCCGTTACAGCTTTCGCATAAGATCCCAGAGTTTTCAATCCGGGAGTTGTCGTCGGCTCCGATGGAGAAGGAACACCCCCCCCCCCCCCCCGGAGGGAATTTCCTCCGCCTGAGCCTTATCCACCGCCATCTCTGTAACTGTAGTTGTCATAGAGAACTTGTGACTGAATTGAGATGTTTCGTTGTCACCTTATTTAATGCCATCATGTCTTTTGATATCCGATTCTAGAAGCTAGAATAATACAGTACATACTAGTAAATGCTTCGACGTGGTACATTTTCCTCCTCTGCTTGGTTCTACTACTTATGTCAGGTACATAATAGGTGGAAAGGAAGAATCAAAGAAAATCAATGGTGGAATTAACAAAAGAAAATGACTTTATTCATGATTGGGAGCATTTTTATTGTGCTATACAGTATTTGTATTTTAATGTATAACTTAAAGTTGTACCATAAAATGAAATGTATAAGTTTAGATTATACCATAAAAGAATTTGTACCATTATGTTATGGTACAACTTTACAACTTGAAGTTGTACAATCACATAAAGGTACAAGTTCAAGTTGTACCATAAAAGAATTTGTACAAACAGTATAAGTATAATCTAAAGTTGTACCATAACGTTAAATGTACAATTTCAAGTTGTACCATAAAGGCAAAAACCTATAGCACCATCCTCTCATGATTGGGGAATTTTGTTCATGCTTATGTTATGGGTACATAGCGATGGCAATTTGGACCAGTCCCTCTGGTATTATCCGACCTAATCCGCGATGGGGCGGGTATTACCTGACCCGCATTAGCGTGGGGCGTGGCATGAGTATCTACTTCCGACTCGCTGTGCCCCACCCCGCTCCATTCTTGGCCCATTCTACCTCAATTTCTTACATATCTTTACATATTTCTTTTATTTTGACTTTTGTTCAACTAGTTAGAGTCGATCTTTTAACTGGTTAGACACTAAATTACCCCCATTTTATCATCAGTATTTTTCATTCATAAAGTGTTTCCCCTTTGTTTTATCGTAAACACTAAAATTTGCCTGTTTTTTTTAAATAACATATAATAGTGGGCCGACCTGTCCCTCCCCATACCCGCGCGGGTTTTACCCGCCCCGACCCGTTATAGCGTGGGGTGGGGCATGGGAAATGAGGTACCCGCCCCGCCCCATTGCCATCACTATTGGTACAAATATCGGAACAGAAAAAAGAGAAAAGGTGGGGTGTCGTGCGGATGGGTGCGTCAACCAGCAGATCCATCGGAAATCACTGATTATAGTCCATCAATTACTTGTTTGGGTGGATGTTGTGAATGAGTGTGAGTCATCCTTTTTGTTACCCACTAAATTTGGGTGGGTGACGGTTGGATTATTACCCTCAAAATCACATGATAATAATATATTAAGTCATTAATGCACATTATATAATAAAACACAAAATTTTCTTATATCACAACCTCAATCATGATTGATTTAATTTAATTACAATGATCTTTTATAAAATTCACTTGATTGCAAAATAAAATTGATTATTTTAAAATATTTTAACTATTAATAAAATATTTTCATATCAAATGAGATAAATGGTATTAGATTATGCAATAAAATACGTTATATTCAATTAGTTTTATGTAAACTTTTACTGTTCATAATTATCTTATTATTTAAAAATATTTTGACCCACCAAAACTGTCAAACCCACCCACATCTGTTGTCACCCATCCAACCCACCCACAACGATACAAATAGGAAGGTGTGAGTGATTTTTTCATTACCCACCATAACAATGAGCAGGTGAATTTTGCATAAAACCCACCCAACTCACCCATTGTCCATCCTTATGGGGTCGACTCGAGCAATGATGACGGTTGCTATCAACTCCCAAGAGAGGAGCTCAAATGCCTACAGTAATCCCACTGGATTGCTCACTCTCGGTGCCTCATTCCCACCTTCAATTGCAGCACCCCTTGTCACCACATCGCTCACACTTCGAATCTGTACTTTGAATTACGGTTAGTAAATGGTTAATCGGTTTTGAACCATAACCAAACTGATAAAAATGATTAGTGGTTCATCGATAATTTCTTAGTGGTTTGGCTTCGGTTATTTGTATTTTTCTTAATGGTTAACGGATAAAAAAACTGATAACCGCCTACTAGTATATGACCAAATAATATTGAAATTTGGCTAAGGGGAAAGTTACAAGGCACTTCCATCAGAGTCGGCAACATCATCATCTTGTTCTTTGTCTTCCACGTAAGAAATGCTTTCGATGTCTAGGTCTTTTCCGTCGATTTATTCCAGTATTCATGATGAACTTTTTTTTATTGTTCATTGGTGCATGCTCGTATGGTACACTCTAATTGGTTTGTTGGCGAAACTCGCGTGTTCAATGCGCACTGTTTTCAAGTAAACACAAACACAAAGTCAATCACAACCGTCAAATATCCGCCGCCGAATGTCGGCGCCATTAATTTGATCGATCGAACAGAAACCAAGACGACCATCAAATATCCATCACCGGCGTCGGCGATGTTGATTTGATCGATGCACCTTTGACTTCTAATCAAACAACCGTTACTCGGCTCACCACCTCTCCAAACTACGTTTGAACGAGGGTGTTCGGCGAATAACCAGAAAATCGAACCGTGAGTGTTCTAAGTTACGTTACCTCTACTCCTATGGAGGTTCCTCTGGAGAGCTCTGCGACTACGACTACAAGCTACGATCTACGACTCTGCAAAGGAGTTCTTTGACAGAGCGGTTCTACGAAACTAGAGAGAAAAGGTAAATCTGTGACGGTGCAGTTTGAGATTTGATTTTGTCGTCCCGAGCTTCTCTCTCTTCCCGATCTTTATACCCCGCTCTTCTCCCCGTAGTCCTAGTAACTGCCTTCGCGCCTTTGTCTCCCACGTTCTTCATTCCTGTCAACCGTGCGTGTAACTTCCTCCCTGTTGCGTAACTCCCATGAGTGCGAAACCGCTTGGACACACGGAAACTTGGCCAAAACGACACTGAGCCAAAATTCACAATTGCTTAACTCTCGCCACTGCGACGTTGTTTTCTATTAAACAACATCGTTTCAGTACTGCGATGGTGTTGATATCTCCCACGATGTTGTTTTCGACTAAACGACACCGTCTAAAATAATCCTTCAAATATTAATTAATCAAACCGGCCATCATTGTTGACACGCCGTCAAACTCTCACTTCGCGGCGCCGTTCTTAATTAAACAACATCGTTTTCTAGTTCTGCGATGTTGAGCTTCGCGATGCCATTTTAAATTTAACATGTTTTAACTATTGTGGCATCGTTTGGCCTACTCGCGGTATCGCTTTCTAATCCGCGGTGTCGTTTCTTTCCTCTTGCGGCATCGTTTCCAACTAAATGACACCGTCCTAAATAGTCATTAAAAATATTAATTAATTAATCCGACCATCACTAGTCAAACTCGTGTGTTGACCAACGATATCATTAGCGCCAAAACGGCTCTATTGTTTTTCCTTTTACCACATTGTTTTTTATTTATTTTAAACACTGTCGTTTGCTAGTACAGTGGCACCGTTGGGCATATTCGCGGTACCTCTTTTAATTAAACGACACCACTAACATAACAAAAAATATCAATCCATGGAACCGCCGCCAGTCTGCACTCGCATTGGGCTGGGCGAAATTTGGTCACTTACCCGATATGGTTTTTAATTAATCGGTACCGCTTATCAAGGCTCTCGCGGCATCGTTTTTAAATCCGCGGTTCCTTTTTAACTCTCCCTGATGCCGCCTGTTTGCATGCGGTACCGCTTCTCCCCTTCCAACAAGGAATAAAAATAATAATAATAAAAGTTCTTTCCAACACCAATACTACGCGCGCGGCCCCCATCCTGTTTTCTTGTAAACAGTGTCTTTTCCAGTGCCGCGGTACTGATGAGCTTCCTTGCGGTACTGTTTTTTTATTCCGCGGTATCGTTTTAACTCTCCGCGACGCCGCTCAACTCCAAACGACACCGTTTTTTACCCGCGATATCGAATTAAATATCGAGACCAATTAATGCGGCATTTATTTCAGTCCAAAATAATTTTAGGTGTCAACAAATGCCCCCACAATTTAGTTTATAAGAATTATGAACCAAATAGTTGACACAATTCAATCACCTAAAATAATCTCAATTAATAATTCAAACAATATGCCATGAAAACTAGTGTCCATAATGAAACTAGAATTGCAAAATTTAACTTACCACCAACATTGGCACGACATGCCATGCTGCCTCGAGCCCTCCGCAGTCACCAAATCCTCACTATTGCAACTAGGGCTGCAAATGAGCCGAGCTGCTCGCGAGCGGCTTGACGTTCGACTCGAGAAAAGCTCGTTTGAAACTCGGCTCGTTAATAAACGAGCCGAACACGAGCTAACCTTTGTTCAGCTCGTGAAGCTCGCGAGCTAGCTCGACTCGGTGACTTGTTGAGCTAAACTCGTGAGCTGGCTCGTCTAGAGCTCATGATATGTCTTAACATGTCGCTAGAGAGCCAACTCGATTACCAACTTATGGACGAATCAATCTATATCTTATGATTTTAATTCATATGGTTGTTAAATTATATATAT